CATCTTGTACATTGTTTCTAATGATTACTGTTCTACATTGTCAAAAGAGAAGATCATTGTTGTTCTACATTCGAGGGGGAGAATGCTAGAAGATCTTTCTCAACAAGTTGATTGCTTGAAGATTTCAAGTTGAAGAATTATTTTGAAGATGACATAATGTGCTTAAAGTTTCAAAGTTCAAACAGGACTCAAAACACATAATTTTCTTTCAAGTCTGAATACAAAGGGGGAGATTGTTAGGACTGAAAATCAGTGTTAAATTGTATTAGTCTTGAAAGTTAAATAGTGTTTATAATTGTAAAAGTCATTGTGTTTGACTTTTCTTAGGAGTTTGACTTTGACCATGTTTAGAAGTTTGACCCTATAAATACGGTGATGTCTTTGTAAACCTAAGGGAGGGAGCTCATTGTATATTCAGATTACGTAAAGTGAAGTTTGACCACTTTTATAGTGTTGACTTTCTCTCTCAAAGTTCATAATATATGTTCTTAAAGATTTATCAGATCTGCCATTGTTATGAAGATTGCTTGAAGATTGATCATTGTAGTGGGACTATCAGAAACCAATACAGAAGCAATTTTATGCTTCCACGGCCGGATTTGGGTACCAACTTATGGGAATATACGGGAAACTATTCTGAATGAAAGCCACAAGTCCCGTTACTCAGTACATCCAGGTACCAACAAAATGTATAAAGATTTGAAGGTATTTTATTGGTGGCCAGGTCACAAGAAAAACATAGCACGATATGTAGAGCGATGCTTAACTTGCTTACAAGTTAAAATTGAACATCAGAGACCATATGGGAACCTGCAATCATTAGAAATACCAGTCTGGAAATGGGATCACATTACGATGGACTTCATCATAAAACTACCCTGAACTTCGAAAGGTTATGATGTAATACGGGTAATAGTGGATCGATTATCAAAATCCGCACATTTCCTACCAATGAAAGAGACTTATTCATCGGAAAGATTGGCTCAATTATACATCAAGGAAATTGTGACTAGACATGGTGTTCCATTGTCCATTATTTCTGACCGAGACAGTCGTTTTACCTCAAAATTCTTGGAAAGTCTACAAAAAGCTTTGGGATCACAAATCAGATTAAGTACGGCTTATCACCCACAAACAGACGGATAGAGTGAAAGAACTATCCAGACTCTCGAAGATATGTTGAGAACTTGTGTCATCGACTTCGGAGGATCATGGGATGAACATTTACCATTAATAGAATTTTCCTACAATGACAGTTATCACTCCAGCATTCAAGCAGCACCTTATAAAGTCTTGTATGGAAGAAAATGTCAAACGCCGTTGTGTTGGAATGAGGTAGGAGAAAAGCAGTTAATAGGTCCTGAAATTGTGCAAACAACTTCTGAAAAAATTGAACAAATTCACACAAGAATTAAGACTGCCCAGGATCGTCAGAAAAGATATGCCGACAAACGAAGGAAACCAATTGAATTCAACATAGGTGACTTTGTAATGTTGAAAGTATCTCCATGAAAGGGTGTTATGAGATTCGGTAAGAAAGGAAAGCTCAGTCCAAGGTATATTGGACCATTCAGAATCTACAAACGGATTGAACCGGTAGCTTATCAGTTGGAACTGCCAGAGGAACTCAGTCTAATTCATAGCACCTTTCATGTATCGAATCTACGCAATTGTTTAACAGATCCAGATCAAGCTATACCACTTCCCGAGATCAAACTTGACAACAAGTTAAATTTCATCGAAGTACCAGAGGCAGTAACTGACAGAAAGACCAAGGTATTAAGAAACAAAGAGATCAGTCTAGTTAGAGTACGATGGCGTTTTCATAAGGGATCAGAAGCAACATGGGAACTAGAATCTGATATGAAAACCCAATATCCTTGGTTATTTGAATGAATTCCGGGATGAAATTCTTTTAAGGAGGAGAGAATGTTATAACTGGGTTTTCTGCAAACCTGGGTCAAGGTAATCTTATGTGTTTATTATGTAGATTATGTGATAGCATGTATAATTAGGCTAATACTTGCATGAATTATGTATATATAGATAGCATCTGATAATATGCGTACATATGATAGAATATAATATTTAAAACCCAAACTTCATGGTTAAGAAATGAATGGTTTTAAATTATTATCTTCACCGCCCAAAATACATTTATATTGGATAACAACTGCGAGTTTTATCTACTATTTGATTTTTATAAGGACTGTGGAGTATTGATGATTTAAGGATTTAAAGGAACTTGGTAAAACTGTTTTAAAAACAGTTTTAAAGGAAATGTTTTGTGTTCCTGAAAATTTGATACTATTTGGAAAAGATTAAAGCAGAAACTGTGCTTTAAAATCAGTTTTGGATATGATATCCTGTGTTGAGGATTTTAAAAGGAATAGATGATTTGAGAAATCATCCACAGAACAGATTGTTCTACGGCTTGGAAGGTTTATGAATATAAACCTATTTTGAGATTATGATTTGGTTAAAAACTATGAACGAGGTTCACTCTAACAGAAAGGTTTGCAGCCTGTCATTGGATGAAATAGTTCATATGAATTTCAGGGGGAATAAGGACGGTCGTTGTGTGTGATGGTTAGCTATTGCTATAAACAGGGGATTTATGGATGTAATAAAGATGGTCGTTGTGTGTATGCATGGTATAACTCTTGTTATTATATCTATTAAGATTACAACAGATTAGAGTTCTCTCTTCTTGGTGATTTGAGGATTCAGAGATGTTGTTCTTATTGAAAATAGTAGTATTGATGTTATGGTTATGGGAAAATATGGCCGATGTTCATTAATTTTGGTCAAAAGTGTTTTGTGAACAGAATGTACATTTTATGAGGAACCAGAGGAGCTCTGGTTTTACTAAACGTACTAATTAGACCAGAGGCTCTGTATCTATTGATAAGAGCTTTTGTGTCAAAATCATATTTTAAGAAGTTTTAAGAAAAAGGATTTTATACTTAGTATTTTCTATGAAAGTCGACCAGAGGGGCTCTGGTCGACTCATACGTTGAACCAGAGGCTCTGGTTCAACGTAACTTTTGAACCAGAAGCTTTGGTTAGTACAACCAGAGGCTTTAGTCGAATAAGAACTCTGTATAACTATTCTTTTTATGAAAAAATATATTATTGGTTGGAAGCTTAACTAAAGAACATTATAAGAAATTATATGAGCCAGAAGCTCTGGTTAGTACAACCAGATGCTCTGGTCGATTAACCAAAAGCTCTGGTAGAGAGACCAGAGGGGCTCTGGTCCTATTTATTGAAATATATTCCAAGTATGGTTTGGAACTAGTAGCTCGATGGACCGAAACAGAATATGATTTTCAAGTCTTTGATATATGGAATGGATTATTTGAAATTAATGTTTTGGTGATCTTCACACTGCATTACATAAAAAGGGAACCTCACTAGACATTCATGTCTAACCCTCATTTTGTATTTTCAAAAAATATGTGTGTAGGTAATGATAATAAGGGAAAGAGCATTATGTGCATTACTTCCCTATGTGCTTAGCTGTGTGAAGATCTTGATTGGCCATGTTTTGGAATATAAATACTAGAATACAAGAGCATGTACTTTTGGAATTTTTGAGTTATGTAATTTACATTATAGACTCTTGTATTAAGGACCTATGTAGGGAAAACATGTACTCTATTTATATGAAATATGTGTTATATACAATGTATGGATGTGGGGGTGTTACAGAGTAGCAGGCTTAGAGGCTCTGCATGTACTACGCAGAGCCTCTGAGCCTGATTCCGTGACTCATACAGAGCTACACAGAGGCTCTGCATGTACAACGCAGAGCCTCTGTCTACGGAAGGTTCCTTCAGACTTGTGACTCTGAATAACCTTCTAATTTGACTTCGGAAAAGGACTTCAGACTTGTGTTTGTCAAATAAGTATTTATTTAGAAGTCTTTATGATCATCGAAATACAGGACGACCTTTGTATATGATACACTTAACTTTTGAGTAAGAGCTCTGTCTCTGCATGTACTACGCAGAGCCTCTGAGCCTGACTTTGTGCTTCATACAGAGCTACACAGAGGCTCTGCGTGTACTACGCAGAGCCTCTGAGCCTGATTCCATGCTTAACGTAGAGCTACACAGAGGCCATGCATCTACAACACAGAGCCTCTGTCTACGGAAGGTTCCTTCAGACTTGTGACTTCGAATAACTTTCTACTTTAACTCTGGAAAAGGACTTCAGACTTGAATTTGTCAAATAAGTATTTATTTAAAAGTCTTTATGATCATCGAAATACAAGAGGACCTTCGTATATGATACACTTAACTCTTGAGTAAGAGCTCTGTCTCTGTGTAGACTCACCAACCAAAAATAAGCCCAAATAAAGGCCCTCTGGTCCACCACATCCTTTCGTCCTTCTGTGTACAGCCTCTTGTTAAACATGAAGATGAATCACATCCCCTCTGATTTGTTTATCATGGATCGGAATATTTTCCGAGGTTTCAAATAAACATCAACACGCACAGATATACAAAAGGACAACCAACCAAAGGGGTTGTAGACACTTATCTTGCAAGTGTAGCTAAGTTTAATACAAGGCTTCTACTCTTGAAATTACCCTGAACAAAAACTCTTCATACTTTAGAGCTCTGTATAGCAAAGCAGAATATCTGCAGCCAGTATGCACAGACCGTGTGATAAATTGATCAAGGCCTAGAATAATTCAGAGTAAAGGCCATCTGGTCATCCACATCCTTTTATTCATCTGCCCAGAGCCTCTTAGTCCAAAAAAAAGTTAAATATTTACAACTAGAGACAATGTTCTTAAACATGAAGATCAACTACAACAAAATTATGTAGTCATGTAAATAAGTTTAATATTAAATCCAAAACAAATAATAATCAAAACGTATAGCATAATATAATCACCAATTCACAGATCATTGTCCAAACCAAAATCCAACCACAAAAACAATACCAAATACGAGTTTGAATTTAATTGTTGATCAAAAGCAAGAATATTACTTCTCAACTTTAGGGATATTTAATGTTTTTGTAGTCGATCCTTTTCCTTCCTGATCGGCATCAGACCAACCTTCAAAACCACGCTTCCTGTCAATTCCTTTCCCGAGCCTTCTGTCATATAACTTCTCTAGTGATTCCGGACTGCCTGCGGTCCTCTTATCCACATCGGAGGGTGTTACATTCTCACCAGTACATGATACAGCATCCTTCAAATATGACAATAATCAGTTATGGCATTTGAAGAAGTAGTTGATTCCATTTAAATTTACAAACTACATTGAAAGTGGCATTTATAATACCTTTAACTTCTCTTGAGAACTGAAACCTGTTGAACGAAGATTTACTGATTCCGATTCAGCAGGCTGCATAATAAATTGTAAAATAATGTTAGACAAATAAAGATTTTATACTAAATTGGATGATATTTTCTGCAAATGATAATTAGCACCTGTTGAGCAGCAAATCTCATCTCCAATTCATTCAAGATGCTATCATCGTCTGTTAGCTTTGAAATACCATAAATGAAACAACTGTTTTTAATGTTGTAATCATTTATGTCAATCTTTATTGCAAATTTCCGATCGAGCAAAACATCCAAATCATCCAGAAACATATGTAAATCACCATTCTGAAAAGAAAAAAAAAACACCTTTTACATTAACAAGCATTTGGAAGCCAAAAAAACTTATGAAAAAAGATAAGACTTCTAATCATACCTCTTTAACTTTTTCATACAACTCTTGTTGCAGATTGATTCATAACCATATTAGCTTCCCGATCAAATAATGTCAATGATACAATTCCAGTATCATTTTGAACTCTCAAAGGAATTCTAAACCTATATGATTATTAAGTGAACATTAATGTAAATGTGTAAAAGTTAACGAAAAGTAGTGTGATGTAGTTGTTACTTACTTTGGCAAAACCTCAGTCTTTTACCGGCTGCATCTATCAGACGTACATTCAAAACTCTCACTCTCTTCTTTCATACCCGATCCATCATCCTTGTCGGTAATAGTGTACGTGGGTCGAACCTTGCAGTTACACCTCTTCCAACCATGTAAAACCAAAGAATGTCCTTCCTAAATGCTTTCACTGTTCCTAATATAATTAGTGATTTCGCCTGTATAAAGTACGATATTTTATGATAAAATGCAATTATTGAATCAATAGAAACAATTTTAAAAAATAAGTACCTCAATAGTTTCACTAATTTCAACAATGTTTGCTCTATTGGTTCTGTCTAGAAAATCTTCACGATATGAATAAGACAATCTAGAGAGCATTGAAAGCTGTTGTGACGATTTAGATTCGCCACTCTCCCGAATCAAACTATTGAATCAGGGATATAAGTAAACAACAATGTATGTTAAAAAATATAAGATATATAACAAAAATAAATAAAATAATATTTGTTGACCGGTTCTTAAAATCCTTGATTTCATCAATATCTGAATTGATGAACAACCTCGTACCATTGAATGAGTTAGAAAGAAATGGTTTTTCTGAAACAAACTAATAAAGGAAGTTAACACAACATTGCTTTAAAGAAATATATATGTTATGAGTAAGACCAATCTCTGTAAATCTTCACCATTGCAAACTGAATTACAATAATAACAATCCCGTTGTCCTTGTTAGTAGAAACATAATCACTAAATTCCTGGGCGAACGCATCCCATAATGTCTCTTGGATTTTGTTCCCCCTAAATAAACTGTAAGAAAAGAATTATATAGTTTCTGAAAATTACTGTTAGTAAATTAAAGTAAAAATACTTACTCCAAGTCCTACATCTCAACTTGCGTCCATCTTTTGGCTTTTCATTGTTGTCTGGAAGAGTCACCATTGTCTCACAGGCAACGACCTCACCAATTACATCTATATAATCATCAAAAAGTTAACATAACCAACTTTAACTTCAATGACAACACAATATATAATTTATTTAAACAATAGAATAAATCTGAAAGGATTCAATTCACTAATCAACTGTTGTATGTTCTAGAATACTTTTAAATATAAGATTTGCAAATTTTACAAATGAAAAACCAAAAATGGAACCCTAAAAATCCCGGCAATTTGTCACAAAAGTTTTGTAATACAAACTTAACTTGTATTTCGACGCATGTCGAGGAATTGTAGGATTCTTAATGAAAATTGCAGCCCCTTCCTGAAGTAAATTTCTGAACTTAGGCACCCGTTTTTGTAGGACATTTGCATGGATTTTAGTGCCCTAAAACATAAAAATGAAAAAGGAATGAGTAGTGATGATGTGAAGATCTTAAACAGCTGAGATAATAGTAAAATATGATGAATACAATACTAAAAATTGAAAAAGAAATAAGAATTTACGTGTTCATCCATTAATATCATTTCCATGGAATATATTTCATCCGGGTTTTTAAACACCGGTTGATTCGACAGTTGAATGATTCTGCTCTTGACAGTGAGATCAGTCTTATGTATGTCAAGATCTTGGATGAATCTAATATTCTTCATATCTATTAATCTGTAAAAGGAAAAACATTTATCAATTAATCAAAATTTTGAAGTAGGTTAAAAGACCGAAGGTATCATACATCACAGCAGGTAAGCAATTCGTTTTGATTGTTGTGGTTTGAAGTTGAGAAATGTTGCCAATTTGAGTAATGAGAAGTACGAAAATTGAATCACAATTGAAAACCACGTCCTATGATGAAAAATCGGGATATGGAAACAAGTTTGAAACAAATTTAAGATTTTATGGGGATTACAACCGACGATGATTGAAGTTTTGAGTTTATCAATTTATGAAAATTCTGAAGTTGCATAGTCTATCCATGTTATCATACCTTAGAATAGGTAAGCAATTCCTGTTGGTTGTTGTCCTTTGAAGGTGAGAAATGTTGACAATCTGAGTGCTGAGAAATTCAAAAACTGAACCAAAATCTAAAACCATGTTCCATGATGGAAAATTAGAATATAAAAAAAAACTTTGAAACAAATTTCCGATTCTATCGGGATTACAACCGCTAATCTCTGAATTTATGAATTTTAGTTTTAAATGTACATCTAAATGTAAATATGATGTAGGTTAATAAAATAAATTAAAAGATTGGAGGTATTAGGATTGGTTGAAAGTCTGCAAATTACTTTGTAGTCTGTTTGTCCGATTTAGTAATGAAGTATGTAATTTTATTCTTAGACGTAAAGGCCTGGTCTGTATAGTCTTCTACAATTCTGCAGAATTTGATTTTGGTTGCAAGTCTGGAATTGTCAATGAATTTATTTGTCATCTTTAGGGGTAAAGTCTGAGGTTTCAGTTTCAGACTTAGGGACCTGATCTGTACAATGGCCTATAAATCTTCAGAGTATGAGGTTGTTAGGTCATCATCCAGAGTTATGTAACTCCAATTCCGAAATCTTCTTCCTTGGGCGTAATGTACCCGTAATTTGCATTTTCCACTCTTGAATGTACAACGCAGACTTATACGTGTTGTATCTAAGGTTCTGTTATCAGACTGAGTGGAGGTCTGTAAGATCTTTACAGATTTCTAAGTCTGGTGTGGTAAGGAAGTACATTCTATACCGTACTTGGTAAAGACAGACGTGCAAGTCTGAACGTAGTGTTCGAGACTTCCGTCAGAGGTCTATGTTTAGACTTACGACTGCGGTTGTCAATTCATAGTTAAGGAATAAACTATGTACATCCCAGACTTGAACAATATAATACGGAGTTTAACAACTTTAGTGACTTTCATAAGGGCTAATTTGCAAAGATTGACTCTCAGACGACGAAGGATAGTCTATAAGATCTTTACAGATATAGAAGTCTGGTCTGGGAAAAAAGTGTCCTTCCGACCCAGACTTGGTAAATGCAGAGGGTTGAAGTCTGAAAGTACCCGGGCCAGAGTTCTGGCACAATACCACATTCAGACCTACAGATCTGGATATAAATTCAGAGTTCTAGAAAAAACTCTGAACCTCCCAGACTTTTAACACACCTCTTCGTCTCAAATGCACCTAAACCGGTTTTCTGCCACGTGTTCGTATATGATTCGACCAACTATTAACCTATATCCTAAATGTAATTAAACATTTTTAAAAAATACGACGGTTTTTAATTTGCATGCTTAATGAGTGCATTAAGTACTCTACACTTCCACGTGTCACTCTATAAACAAACCTTTCGAGTTCTTTGTTAAAATTTAAAACCATATATACTCCATATATGTGAATCGTCATCACTCCCACCTTCATTTTCCTCATACGAACTTATCTCTTGCAATCACAGAACACCAAAGCAACGCATCAATGCCTAACTCATAATTGAACGTCCAGAAAACAATCCATACTGTTTGTCCCTAAATTCACTGATCAATCTTCATGTTAGCTTCACAACAATGGCAGAATCTCATATATCTTCAAAAACATTCATAAGAACATTGAGAGAAAAAGTCAATCTTTAAAGCTCTGGTCAAACTCTTATTTACGTAATATGATATTACAAATGAGCTATCTCTACTAATTACAAAGATCACCTACTATTTATATGGTCAAACCTACTAACACAAGTCAAAGTCAAACCTGTCTAATAAAAGTCAAACACGGTGACTTTTACAATTATAGACTATATTTAACTTTCAAGACGAATACAATTAATACTGATTTTCAGTCCTAACACATACCACCAAAACCTGCTTCGAACACTCTTCCTCTTCTGATTTTGACAATGAGGTCAACCAGGGTACTTCTATCATGATTGAAAACATTGAAGTTGCTCTCCAGGAGCATGTCTCCTTTCCTTTTGGAAATCAATCCCCATCAGCGAACACTGGATTCAATCATCTGGCTCCGATTCCGGTGCCAAATGATGAGTAGGTCACTGATAAGCCTAAAGAACACAACCCTGAACCTGCTGAATCTCAAGGGGAAGTGGGAGATGCTCATGAAAGCCAACCAGCACAGACTGCTGTTATGTCTGTAGCTATTGGAGAACCTGATGTAAGTCATACTATTTTACCAGAATCTGATTATGATCTCATTAAGGAAAACAACAGTGCCCTAAACTTGAACTCTGAAAAATTCAAACACGAGCACCAAATTGTCATTGAAATGATTAAAAGACATCCATTGAAAAGGATGTTCACTAGAAGGTACGAAGTTCGTGTTCAATATCTTCAATAGTTGTGGAAGAATCTAACATATGATGAGGAACAAAATGAGATTACTTCAACTGTAGGTGGGTACTATTTTTCCCTATCCCTGGAACTGATAAAGAAGATGCTCTTCCTTCCAAATAACAATGAAGTGTTGGGATAATCAGATTTTGATGCCCTACCATCTCAGGAGAAGATGATTAAAGACTTGATCTCATTGGGATACAAATATCCTTTGCCAACATTAAGCAGTTTCAGGAGGAAAGGTTTACCACCTGTTTGGTACTTCTTGTTCTCCTGTATCAATAGATGCCCAAAGCCTCAAGCCTGGATCAAGCATCAAGGCCAACATTGACGATCTTCCATGGTATAGCTTTCAACATGCATTATGATTATGCATCACTATTCATGGAAGAAATTAATGCATACATTGCAAAGCCGCCTGTGTACATTCCATTTCAAAGATTCTTCCAACTGTGCGTGAAGGGAGTAATGCACTTACAACTGAACATTCCAGTAAGAGAGGAGGAGGAAATGGCCCCACAATTCTACATGGATTCATTGCAGTTATCTACTCCTCTTTCTAATTTCAGAAATCATATGCCACTCCCCTTGGAGTTGATAGCATATATTAGGAATGACAACAGGGTACTTAGAGAATACTGTGCTTCTATGGAACTGCCAGAACCGGCAGATTCTACCCAAGAAGCAGTTCCACTTAGGACGAGTGGTGAAGAGTCAAAAGAAAAGAGTGTTGGGGAGGAGACACAGAGGGTTATGTCTCCTAAAAGTGTAGAGAGGAAAAATGTGAATGAGAGGCAGGGTGGAAGAGATAAAAACAAAAGAGAGGATTTAGAGAGATTAGGGTCAAAAAAAGAAGAGGACCCTGCCCCATTCCCAAAAAGACGGGCACCCACATCTGCTATCTCTCCACATTTTTTGGTGGATGGTATTGAAAAAGGCACTGAGACCATGATGACTCTCATATCAACCCTACCAACCCACTCATCGCCTTCTCAAAAGGGGGATGTTTCATTAAACATTTTGAGGCAACCAACACATAATCCATTAGCTCTTTAGTTGGAGGAAGCCAATGTTGAAATTGAGGAACACTTGTCTCATCCTCATCATTCTTTTCATCACATTGAGTCGAGAAGTCCATCCCATATTGAGCCAAATACAGAACCTGAAACTGCTATTTTCCTTGCACCAACATAAGTTTTCATGACTTGCCTGTTCAAGTTGTTCGTCAACCTATCTTAACACCTATAGACATTCCTTCTAGGGATGGTCAAGGATTGGGTGGAAGTCCTGGTGGAATGAACATCAACAAAATCCCACTACCAAGTACATATGTTGTACATGATGTGTTTGTCATATCAACAGGCTAACCCACACCTGCTGTGGGATTGCAAGCAGGATCATTTGTTGATCCTGGTTTCCTATCAATGATTGTCACAAATACGGAGTTAAACTTCAATGACTTTTGTAAGGGCGAATTTGCAAAGATTCACTCTAAAATCAATGAATTGATGGCTATAAATTAAATAAGAAGTTTGGAGGAAAAGATGACGTCAATGGAGGAAGGAATTGTGGAAAAAATTGATGGCCTTGACAGTTATGTCCTTCTAACAGAAAACCAATTGAAGGGTGTGAAGAATATGGGGGAAACCAGCCAAACAACTCTCCATAACTTGACATCAAACTTTGTGATGAAAGAAGACTTCAAAGTCTTCTAGAGCTGTATCTTAAAGAACTTTGAGATTTTTTCTTATAAGATGATTGAGATACAAGCTAAGAATGAAGCTGTCATTCTCACCCAACTAAATACCCTCAGGCAGTCTCAAATGGATGACGCCAATACACAAGCCAAAACAGAAAATCCATTCAAACCTCCAACTAATCCATCTCCTTCGCAAGGAAATCCCATCCCTGCCATTCCCAAAGCCAACATGCCTCATACCGAAGATTTTGCCACGACTGCTCAACTGAATGAAGTGAAGGCAGATTTGGTGGATTTAAGGTACATGACAGTGTTGATACGGAAAGACCATCAACAAATGGGTTGCAAGAAAGAAACCGAACCATCTAAAAGGAAGCATGATGAAGATGATGACTTTGATGATGAAGTTGTCTCTAATAATGAAAACAGGGGAAAGAGAATAAGGCAAGAAGAGGCAACAACACTGGGAATGGCATCTAATGCGGATACAAAAATTGGGAGAACGTTGAAGAGAGAAATGGTGATGAAGACAGAATGGATGTAGATAATACTGAAGCAAGGTGTAATGAGACAGAAAGGATAGAAATGGAGGAAATTGAAGCAATTGCCATTCCAAGTTTAGATGGGGAGTTTAAAAACCCAAATGATGATCTAGAACACAAGCATGAGCATATTTTTCAGAATTCGTGTCTTGCAATCATTCCTTTTACACCTTTTGATTCATTTATTCAATTACTTCAGGAAAATTCTTTATTCCTTCAATTGTTCAACCTCTGGGGGAAAAACAAGAAACAACAGTAGAGTCATCAGATTCAACTGGTTTTATGGACACAAAAATGCTTATTAGCAAACCTGGTGGCACTTTCGGCTTTTTCAAGTCTAGCAGCCACATGCTCATAATAGACGATAAGGAGGAAATTATGCTAGAACATGAAATTGATAGGAACTGGCCTGGAGAAGTGCAGATGATGTACTCTGAAATGATAAGCAGGCTAAGGACAAAAGTGTTGTTAAACCCCACAATGCAAAATATAAAAAGTAATGAAAAACAAACATGTGATGAAGAACCAGAAGACC